ATATATATATATATATATATATATATATATATATATATATATATGTTGGGGTTTTTTTTGTCATTGGTGGTAAACATGTCTGTAGTAATTGTTCCGCCAACCTGGAGTCTCTGTAGTTCTAACTGGAAGCTCTGCCTTCCTCTGTAGGAACTCTCTGTAGTTCTCTACATCTCTTCCCTCTTCAGTGTTCTATTGCTATGGTAATGGTTCTATTGCTATGGTAATGGGCTCTTTGCACGTACGGCGCTGAGGTCACATCCGCATGAGCGAAATGCGGCTTTCTTGCTTCCGCTTTGAGTTACCATGAGAGATAGGAAAGACAAAGTCGTATTTCAGAAGTAAATAAAGCAATACCATGAACATTATTGTCTTCCAAATATAAAGGGCTTTTAAGTTTTCTTGGATTTCCAAACAATCCTGAATTAAGAAGACGGTGGCTTGTAAATATTTGTCGCTACAAGTTAAAGCTAACGCCCCACAGTTAGCTGCTAGTTTGCAGCTTCTTCAGCCTAAAACTACCGAGGGAAATGGATGGTAAATAAAGGAGCCATCCCTGTGTAATTTCCATTGAATCACTTCTGTATTCAGCCTGAAAGAACACGTTTATGGGAACGAGTGAGCAGACCAGAGCCAGATAGATCACTGACCAACTGATGTGTCTGTAAACACCATCCTATTTGAGTTCTTCACAAGAAGCATGCAAAAATAATAAAATTAAATAATAAGAAGACCTTAAGGAACATGGCCATATTTTTCTAAAAGCAACAACTTTGAACCTGAACAGTCAGCTGAAATGCCTCCTATGCTTTGCTATATAGCCCCAACAAGGCTGATCTCATCAAAATAAGAATAATATGGATAGCAAATGAATCAAAACTATAAACTCAACACAACTCAATCGTGACACGTTTTCTGTAAAATTCAAGAAATGGTGTCAGCTTTGTTCAAGTCTGGAATCTATAAATCAATATATGGAGCAATCTCCTTGCTAAAACATATATATGAATATATATTCTCACCAGGCTCATTTGTCATAGCAGACCAAGTCAAGAACACTGTGTACAGGGTGATGAAAGACGACTGCAGAAGTCCTGAATGTGGCTGAAATTCCTGTAAATACAAATGGAATGAATATGAATCTATTAATCATGTACTTGCTAGACAGGTTGCATGTGTTTGCTTTTTGTTTGGAAAACCTAACTAAAAAAATTTTTAAAAATGTGATAAAAAATTAAAATACAAGAAAAAGCGTTTACTTTGGACTGTTTTGCGAGATTGGTACACACTTTGTCGAAGGGCCCCAGATGGACTTTTAGTTTACATTTGTGATATAATATCTCTTGGTCTTTTCTAAAACCTCATTATTACAAAATCTATTATTTTTATTATGAGACTGTGCAACAGACAAAGAGGAACCGGCTCAAAAACATCACAAGTCACAACTGGCCCTGGAGCCAGTGATTTTGGAAATGACCCAAATCCTTCAGATCCTCCAACAGGTTGAGACAGTGGCGTAAAGGTTACCAAACAGTCGAAAGTTTCATGCTAGTAACTGGCTCACACACACTACATCCCAGTTTGTTTTTTTTCAAGTTCAGTTATGCTGAAGTTACAAGTAAACAAGTCCAAATGTTCGGTTCTAGCGTGTATTAACACACAGTATTCCTTACATCGTCTCCCAGCATCAGAGCCTCTTCGAAGTGTCTGGTTAAATTTATAGATTTTTTTCTCGGGAATGTACCCACATCAATGGGGAATGTCAAGTTTTGGAGAACTTAATGGACCACTGCTTCAGCAACATCCGCCAGTATCAAGAGGGATTTTCCGAAAGATTTTGTGTGACTGAGGTGTCCGTTCCTTTTCTCTACCAAAATGATAGACAGAGCAAAACCATAAGCTCCAAATAACGCTAAAATGACAACAAAGCTTATTTTAGCCATTCATTTTATGTGTTGATATAATGACGTCTTGGCCATTTGAGCCCCGCCCCAAAATTAAGGGGCGGGGCTATGGGCAGGGCTAAACCAGTCCAGTGTTAACCATACTCTAGTTTTGCATTATGCTGATTTAAGGACATAATTATTACATTAATTTTAATGTTTCTAATTATTCAAGTAAGTAAGCAATATTTTAATGTTGTTTGTATATTTTGAGAACCTCCCATATTAGGGCCTCAGTGATACTGAAATATGTTTGAAGAAGCCCAAATCTCTTGTACCTGTACTTTGCGTAGCACAGAAACTACAGAGGCCACGATGCACAACATCACGTTGAAGCTGATGAAGAACTTGTTGATGAAGCAAGCATCAGGTCTGGCGTAGAAGATGAAGCACAATACAACCGCAGTAAACGCAGTGACGTAGTTAAGGGTCATGGCGGCCATCAAAGCTAAAGACATACAGCACAAAACAAATTATGTTGCAGAAACAGTTTACGTCTTTGAAAGGACACTATTAAAAATAGAGTTGCAGTTGCAGACACAGACCTGTGTACCAGCCTCTGGAATTGCCTTTCTCCATATTTTCCACCCAAGACTCATTCCATGAGTGAGCAAAGTCCACCAGCAGCACCAGTTGGATGAGAATGAAAAAGAAAGCTCCTCCAGAGCCTATGACAAACCACGCTGCAACAACACAACACAGGTCATTCAGTTACTCCTCTGACAGACACTGTAATGCGAAAAAATATAAAGGTCTTACTGTAGGTGAAAGGCCCATCTGGAATATAAAAGGCACCAACTGTACTTGCCACCAAGGCAACAAACTTATAGAACCAGTATCTGAAAATAAATGAGTTTCAGTTAGATAATAAGACGGTTGTAATTGTGTGGTAAATGCACCAAAATCAAAGCTGTGCTCTCACCATCCCTGTTTATTCCACTTTAATCGAACTCTAGTTTGTTTGTCTGGAAAGTCTGGTTCATTTCGGGAGGTACGAAAGTACAGTCAAACTCCAAAAATATAAAACTCCTGTCTGCCTACAAACCCAAGTCTCGGTTCAGCTGAAGTGAATATGAATGTCAAGCGGACCGGAGACACATCCAAGAGCAAGAAGTGAACTACAGCACAGGGCATTCTGGGTAAATACAACCAAAACAAAAGCACAAGCGTAGAGGTTTTCAAAGGGTTTAGTTCATTAGACACACTACAGTGTGAAAACAAACCAGTTGAAAATTTAACAAATGTTGCAATTTTAGTTCCCAACTGAACCAAATCTACTGGACTATTAGGCTTGAAAACACTCTAAGCTTGATTTGTTTTGTTTTTTTTGACACACCACATTTGATATTGCTGATTGATTCATACAAAGCCTACATGTATTTAAATTCACCAGATCTTATAATGAGAAATATTTTGTCCTAGAGCAAAACGAAACCATGCGCACACACACGCACACACGCACGCACACACTCATACCTAAGAAAAATTGACCTGAGTGAAGTTGCCCCCCCCACCTTCAAATCAGACAAAATTGGTGTCAAACGTTTGTGCTACGTTTGTGCTGGTTTGTGCAGCAAAAAATTTTTTGTTTGTGCTGTTTTGGCTTTGAAGATATTAATGAAAGTGTAAAGGTCAAAAGGTCAACCAGCCCCCCCACTTTTATGAAATCCAACTTTCTTTATATCTTTAAAATGATAGCGGCACAAACGAAAATTTTTGCAGCACAAACCAGCACAAACATAGCACTAATGTTTGACACCAATTTTGTTTGATTTCATAAAAGTGGGGGGGCTGGTTGACCTTTTGACCTTTACACTTTCATTAATATCTTCAAAGCCAAAGCAGCACAAACGAAAATTTTTGCTGCACAAACCAACACAAACGTAGCCGAGTTGATTGACATCCATTTTGTCTGATTTGAAGAAGGTGGGGGGTTGGTTGACCTTGGATGACCTCTGGAAACATTTCTTTATATCTTTAAAATGATAGCGGCACAAACGAAAATTTTTGCTGCACAAACCAGCACAAACGTTTGACACCAATTTTGTCTGATTTGAAGAAGGTGGGGGGGGCCAACTTCACTCAGGTGAAAAATTGTTATGAATCCCAAGTGTGGAAATTTTAAATAAGCAAGACACTACCAGCTTTTGCCACAGAAAGAAGTTGAATGGTCAGAGATCAGCCCTCTGTCCGATATGAAAAGACACGCCTGGACTCTGGAGGTGTTCTTCAGACATCTGGATGAAGATGCTTCAGGACAACCAGAGGCCACAAAGAGGGCGTCCACTGACAGAGCAGTGGAAGTGAGATACGGTCAGAAGAGACTAAAAGGAACTCCATATAAGGCGTGCAGTGGATTGGTGCAGAAACACATCCGTCATCGGCTCTATGTTTTGGCCCTCATTTCATTTAACTAAGAATGAAGGGGGGCAGTCTGGGAACTCTAGGAGGAGACATCCTCTCTTGGATTGACATAACAGTCCTCTTGCTAGAGTTAAAAGTATACCAGTTAAAAGTCCAATCATCTGGTCCTTTCATACACCTCATCTCCTCGAACACTTAGGGTAGCTCTCTATGAATCCCATTTGCTCCAGTAGGCTTGTTTGGAGGTTAATGCCCTTCTTGTGTAATTATAGAATATCTAGGGTTGGATGAGTGGGTGATCAGCTGCAAAGTCTTTGGTTAAATTTAATATTGAGGGATAGTCTTGGGTCAAGTAGGCTCAGTTAACAGTAGTTATGTTTTTGGACTGTAGGGGGAAGCCGGCATACACATAGGGTACTCACACAGGCATCAGGAGAATATCTTAAATCTAACAATAACAAAGCTCAATTTTATGTTAACTTATTTTCACATGTTGATGAAAAGGCTCTTTTTGCTTGTGGCTCCATGAATGTGAGTCACTTACAAGAGGAGTTTTAATTTCTCCAGCTGGGAATAGATTAGTGGACAAGTAAACTTAATAAACTATTATCAGAACTGAAGTCCCCCAACAGTTCATGTCAAAAGCTTAAAAATATTGAAACTTGATAAACATCCATAATCTGACTTCTATAGTAACATCCATGCATCTGTCTGAGGACTGTTTTCCTTGGAATGTCAGGAGGGGAGTGGTTCCTAATACAAGGCAGAGTCCATGAGAGGAGGGGGAAACACAGACACACAAGACAAACGACCACTTAAGGACAATGTAGAGGCCATTTCACCATTATTGGACCGGGGGAGGAGAAAACCCAGCATTTCTTATATTGTCATTTGTAGACTGATAGTAACAGACCTATCCCTTGAAGCCATCAATAGTGTTTGAAAACCAGGATTTCAGAGCCTTGGAGCGTTCTCTTGACATGGAATCCCAAAGAGATATTTCACAGACAAAGACGTCCCAATGCTCAAAAGCAAGTCCCAGAATTTCTAAAAAGCAGATAGGACATGTTGACTTTTTTCTGAATCAGTGTCACTAAAACTAAAAAAAAGACTCAAGCAATCTTCTTTACTAAATAAGTTGTGAACCAATCCTGCCATGCTTCTTCTTCTTTAGCTTTCAAAGCGCATAGCAACAATTTAATTCTTTATTTCACCCCCTTTTTTTTAACTAATGAAATGGAACTGTAAGGTACTCAGGCTAACCTGAGAATTTGTTGTTTGTTTCACGATAGGCTAAATATTCCTGCCACTATTTCAGTCCTTACCCATTGTGTATGGAAGCACGAGGGTCTCTGCTGGTCTTGATGTTAAGTGTAAAAATGGAGAAGCTCAGGAACCACATGCTCATGCCGAAGCAGAAGCGGTACACTGCTTTGTAGCCCACCAACATCTCACACTTCAAGTATGCCTGATGGGCTGGAATAAAGAAGCCTTCCGTGTCATCACAGAAACCTGGAACCTGAGAGAAAAAAAAAAAAAAGAGGAACAATCTGAACATCGCACTTCACATTTAAACAAGGCTGACACCTGACCCCACACAGTATCTGAAGCTAATTTAGGTGTTTAGGTCAATTCAGAGGAACAATAACAGTGGACATGCGCCTCGTCGTGGTTCAGTATTCGTAGATTCACCAATTCATAGATTTTTATGTGGAACATAAGTCTATTATTAGCTAAAAATCCACTGATTCTTCATAAATATTCCAAAGAAAATGCAGCTTGGGAAGCTGAAAAACCTGGGCGCCATGCTGCTTGAAATACGACTGGGTGGCGTTTGCAAAGCAGCTCACCCAGAACGCCATTTAGTTTCTTTGACACTCTGAAACCTTTAGAGGTAGAGATAAGGAAGACAGTGGATGTTAGCTTTGACTGTAGAGCTAAGACGATTTCCACTGTGAATATTAAAGCATTAATAAAGTGTATTTGGTGTTTGAACTGTCCTAAGCATTCTTAGAGAAGATCTTCAGTATTTTCAGATTTCAGCTTTTCGTGCACGGTTGTGGTCTTTTAACACAAATACTCTGGATCCACTGTGTGGAGATTAAGTATATTTTCTGAAGTCTATTTTTGTGGAGGTGGGGGTGGGGGGGGAGGTTGTCAACTTTTTATTCACAGACATAACCACTCCATCTACAATATGATTGCATAATTTATTCGTACCCTTCTGAGTTGCTGCTCCATCCCTGGTGAGAGCATTATGCAGGCAACAATGGTACCCAGCAACAGGATGGAAGCGTAGATGATTCTGGTCACTGTGGAGTTCCTGCTGCTTGGACAGCAGCTGCAAACTGGACACGTAGCATTGCTGCACATCTGGGGGAACAAACGAATTGTGGTGAGTAGAAAGGAGCCTAGAAGGTACGGGTAAAAGTGGTTATCTGTAATGTACAAATCACTTTTTTATAAGCACAGCAGGACTCTCTACATGTGTCTGAAGATGGATTTGTTTCATTTCTAGGAACCACATTTTCCCTTCCTAAACAAGTGTGTATCCTGACCCTCAGTGTCATTTAGTCTAAACTCCATTGACGGATGGAGCTCAAGGGAAATTAAACATTCAACACTCAAACATTCCTCCACCTAAATAATGAGAAAACCGAATGGATTTTGTTCAAATGTCATGTAACCATTTCACCCAGTCTAGGTCTTTTACCCCCATTTCATCCCAATGAGATTAAAAGGGGTCACTCCTAATGATATAAAATTAGGAGTGAAACTTAACCGTAGCTTAAAACTTGGCAGACCAGAGGATGATTGTTGTGAAAACAATTTTTTTTCACCGTCATCTACTTTCTAAAGTACAGTTTTGCAATCAATGTCTTTAAGTCTACTCATTCATTTTAATTTTTTTTAAGTCGTTGGAGGTTCATGCAATTCCACGGGACTATCTCGAAATTATGTACTTGAGATATATGACAATTGTGGTGGAAAAAGAAAACTTTGTTTTATTAACTGGGGAAGCAGAACCAGATAGTATAAGATTTCAGAGAAGTTGTTATTTTTTGAACTTACTGAACCCGCTCTGTCCAAGGACACAGATGTGGAAGATGTGGGGAAAAAAAGTTTCTTTGTTTTTTCTCTGATGGGAAAAATCCCCAAGGAGGGAAGCTGATGGAAAATTCCATACTTACGTGACCAATTGACTATATTTCCCTTGGTCACGGAAGCAAAAACATACAGAAACGTATGTTTTTTAAGTTTCTTTCTCTGGGTTTGATCTTCCGAGAATCTCGTTGGTTTTCTTTTACTCTGATTTTCTAAATAAAATATCTAAAGATAAATGCGCATTTCTCTGATTGACTCAGTGTTTCGCTATTATTTAATAAGAACATTTTACTACACCATTTAAAAGGGTGGCTTCTCAATATCATTTGTAATTTTTTATAGAAAAAAGGTTCAAACATAACCCGCGGGAATATATCGCCATTTGTTTTACTGGGAAAATCTTGCATATCGCCCAACCTTAATGCCTGCTGCATCTGGGACCACCACCAATACACGAACCAGCCAGCTGGACCCAGCAGACCAACTATCTTTAGAAGATTTCTCTGTTTTAAGAGACACTATTGACACAGTGGCCAGGCCCTGTTGGCCATGGTGGCAGTTTAAAGTTGCTTCAGACTAAAACACTTGCTTACATTGAGAACAGAGACAGGATGTTTAATCCAGAAGATGCTCATACTAAAAAACAAAGTCGCTGAAACACAATTAAATCTGAGCCTATGTTGCTGCAAATGTGTCTGTTGGCATTATGTTAATAAATACCAGGTACAAGTGACAGATTTATACCAGGCAGGTAGCACAACTTAGCAGCCAACAAACACATGTTCTGCACATGGGTTTTCTTTTTTCTTCAATGCAGCAACAGCTGAGTGGAGTGGAAGAAAGACACCAGAGGATTGTCAACATGTTAATACCCCTGGCAGGTAAACAAAGTCAGCTTAATCTTCTTACAAACTGGGCCATGGCAATTTACAGGAGGTCACATGACACAACCAAACAACCATGACAGAACCAGAAAGACATTTTTGGAAGATAGTTCATCTCTCTGACCACAAAGCAAGAAAGTCCTTCACTGTGGACAGTTTGGCACAGAAAGTTACTGCTGTTTTATTAGGTAGTTCAGTAAACCAGAGGATTAAGACTTCCTCTTTTTGCTATTATTACCATTAGCTTGAATATTTGCTATGGATACAATGGGCTGCTTTGATTTATAGCTGTAATTTTTAAAGAGTTGTTCAAGAATTATTAAAAAAAAATAGGTTAAGCTATATGGAAATTCTGGACTGTGACCTACACTTATATAAGTTTCTCTGTTAGATCTAAAGCCTCTGGACCTCCAATTGTTCTCAATGGGATCTAAATGAGGACTACTGAATTATTCTCAGTTTATTATATGCCTTGGCACTGAAACATAATCACGCTGGCCAAAAATCTCATTTGTCACATGAAAGTCCATATAAAATGATGGAGCATTGTAAAAAAAAATGATATCTGTATATTCAACAGTGAAAATTGACTGGAAACGTCTGTAAACTATAAAACAATTTAAAACTGTTGATAAATTAAACAGTAGTTTGTGCATTTGTACATTCATTTTCTAAGTTGTTTCCATGTTAATTTTATTTAAAAAAAATATTTTCCTTAAATTAAAACATTGTCTTTTACGGTAAAACAGTAAAACTGACTCCAGCACTATTGCTAACCATAAAAATCACCAATGACATCCATCTAACATGAAATAAAAGAAATGTGTGAATACTTACACAGCCTGTGAAGGTAAAGATCCCCTGGACAGCCCCCATGACCAGCCTGCTCCGTTACAGCAGCCTGGTTCCAGTTACATTCTCACTCCCCCTTGCAGGAAGGTTTGGACTGAATGGAGCTGCTTCAGTCGACTCTGAAACTCTACAGTTCAGTTTGATTGGCTTGTGGGTTAAATGCCTCATCTGCTTAGAGCGTCACGCTGCCGTAGGCGTCCTGAGACCTGCTGACTCGTGGAAAGCGATTCCAGCATTTCATCAAAACAAAAGTATCAACTATTAGAGTCTCATTAAAACCGACTGATATGAAAAACTTGTATCATGACATGTTTTTCAGCCATGTTGCCCAGCTGTGGCATCACACAGCTACTTCATCCACCTGCTACTCTACAGGTGCATTCATGTTGTATATTTTTCTTTTGATATTCATATTTTCTTTTATTCTTCTATCACCACATCAAAACATTTCCCTAGCCTGTAAACCTTTTTACTGACAATAGCAATAGTGATTCTCATAAGTCCTGTTCTTGCCTTCACTGTACCGGCTTCCTGCACTGCAAGGTTTATTTTAAAATTCTGGTTTGAACTTTCATGATCGAGGTCTTTGAGTATTATATTACTGGCTGCATCCTGAACCCGTTTCAAAATCCATGGACACCAAGCTTTTTGGGGATGTTCTCCCAATGTCCCTACACTGCACAGACTCTTAGGAAACAACTAAAGTTTTTTTTTTTATTAGACAGCTTTTGCTTTTGTTAATCACTTTGTGATGTGTGTGTGAAAGGTGCTACAGAAATACATGTTTTACTTTCTTATGCTACTTATTGAGGTCAAGTTATCGTCAGTGATAACTGACGATAACTTGCGAAGAACAAAATGTCATATTCACTGTCATACATAAATATTGAAGATTCCTTGATAATATTTATAATTTAGACCCACAAATCTGTGGATTAATTAATTTTGATTGTATATATATATATATATATAAAAATCACTAACTATTGAAGGGAGTAATATCAAAAGACGTTCATTATTTAATTTTATTTGTTGAATACAGAAACAGCTATTTATTAATATTTTAACTGTTTACTGGGGATTTAGCATCACATTCCGGTACAACTGAGAACATGCACATTGGTCTGACCCGGTCCGGCCAGACCTCAAGAGCAACATGAGGGGGCGTCACTATGGAAACCCTGCTAATGTTGTGTAGAAGTCTAACACTTTGACTAAACGGCTGTTTTAACATTTTCCCCAACTTGTTCATTTTTGCTCAACATGTGACGTCCACCATCATTTAGTTCTATTAATCCAAGTTAGGTCAGTTAATATTGAATCTACTAAGATTGATTCCAGTCACATTCTTTTCTCCGTTTATGCCTCCAATCATTTCTCCATTATCATAGCACAGTGTGTGACGTCCACGTTCTTCTTCTGCGCATGTGGACATAGGAGTCTCATTGTGGTGGTATGATCTCGCTAAAAAAAAATAAAAAATACAAAAAAATTAGAATTCAACATCAAGACCTGCTGTGTGATGAGAGCTTTATACCTAAAGGCAATTTAGAGACATCAGATCAATGAACCTAACTAAGAGATACATTTTTTTACCTGAAACAAAATTAAGAATTTCCATTTTTGAACAATAAACCATTAAACAGAATGCGCTTTGATAACATTACCTCTTTTCTGTTCATTATCTATACATGTATAAAAGAGGAAATTTTAGTTGCAGTGTATAGACAGTCATACAAAATACAACTGTGTGCAAAAGTAATAATGTTTAATTCAAATAAAACCATGCAACAGGTGACCGTCACCCTGATTAGGCTCTACCCCATTACAAAATAAACATCCAAAGCCGAACGTCGTCTTCAGTGAGCGTTCGCTGAACGACGGAAAGAAGAGACAATTCCATGGAATACACAGGAAAAAAAAAAAAAAAAAAACAAAGCTGAACAAAAACGTTCTCCAGTGGTGATCCTCACAGAAACGCCTCCTCCTCTAACCCCCGAAACCCCCATTTGGCCCTCTTCCCAGTGGTTGCTAACAATTAGCACAGAGCACTATGAAACATATGGCACAGAAGTTTGGCAAAAGAAAGAAATCAAAGACAAACAGTTAAAACAAAGCAGCAACACTCTGGCTTTCGGATACATAACATGAAGAAGATGTTCATCTCCTTGTATTGGACATGCTTAGTTCAAGAAAAGGTCCCGAGAAGTTTACTCCAGGAAGAAACGGGAACGACTGGAAATGTGAAGCTAACTTAAGCGAAGTGGTAAATCATTGTTTTGTTGTTTTGCCTTGTTGCTGGGGATCGTTTGCAGCAGATTGTGGTTCGTCATGCACAAAATGTCAACAGCCTCACATGATCCCAGAATACACCGATACATTCCGTCAGACCATTTGATAGGTCGCGATCTGGATGCAAAGAGGAAAAATAAAAGCTGACTAAAACTTTTCTTATCTTTTCTTTTTTTATACCGCTGGTCAGCGTGATAGACGTCTGGGCAGCGGGTGAGGCGGCTGGGTTCTCCGGGCAACGGAAGGCTCTGATAGGAAGAAGTTGGGGCTGACAGTCTTGGATAACATGATGGTTGAACAGCTTCAGAGAGTGTGTGCATATATATATATGTATATATCTGTGTGTGTGTGTGTGAGAGAGTGTTGACAGTAGCAGCAGCTTCAGTTGCTGTAGACCTGGCCCTCCGGCGGCTGGGAGAGCCTGCTGTTCTCTTTCATCATCATGTGCTGCCTGAGCTCCTGCAGCACCATCTTGATGTTGTAGGAGTTCTTCCACCGGGACAGCGCCGACACAGACTTCAGGTCCACCTGAGGGAAGAAACGCTCCCTTCGTTTCATCTGGTTTACTTCAGCATTGAATATTTGTTACAACTCAATTTACTTGGGGTTTGTTGTCGCAACTGATTTGGTGGAAATTCCCTTTAATTTCCATCAGATGGAAATGAAAAACCATCATCCAGAGTGTGGAGAGGTTGTTGTCATTTCAAAAAAAATGAAAAAGAATGATGGTTTTGTTTGGTGGTGTTCATGTTTTTAAATACTTTACCAAGTAAAATACTGTTTTACTTAGTTCTTTCTTTTTAAATACATGCAATTAGAGATGCACGATATTGAATTTTTGGTCGATATGCCGATATACTAAAACTCATTTGGCCGATAACCGATACCAATACTGATATTTTTTCCTATACCTACTTACTGAAACTATATGGTGTTCTATGCTGCATTATTTTTGTCATTATTTTTGCATCTGATACCAAATGCAAAAGCTAAAACGGAAGCATCACTTTCAACTTGCATTATGTTTAATGTCAAATTTATTCATGACGTCTGCTCTCTCTAAGACAAAGACATCATTCAAACAGTGCAAATTTGTAAATCTTCACAAAACTAAACTCAACCTGTTCACAAGCAACAAGTGAAAAGCACATCAGTCGTGCATTAATACTTAACAGTTTCTCATGACGTGCTGTGTTGCAGGCACCATGTCACTGGTTTGTCATAAAAACAACTCTTTTTACACCAGTGGAGTTATTTTGACGGAACGGCGGATGTCCGATATTAAAATCTACAGCTAATCCGATGCCGATACCAATCCGATAATACTGCATCCCTACGTGCATCACCTACAAATGAGAGAAGATGGGCTTTTCCATTACTGAAAGCCTTTCAAATAAGTAACTTTTCACAAAACTATCCATGAGTCACATGGGCTAGCATCAAGAGATTACTGTGCAATCAGAAAAGCAAAAATGTGTAAAAAAAAAAAAAAGACACTCACCACACCAGTTGAACTGTTAACACCAGTCAAGTTGATTTTGTTAACAAAGCGGACCATAGGCGGGTACTCTGGGTATCTGTGACCGCAGTCTATTTTCAGACTGTATATTCTGCCTTCATAAACAGTCTGAAATGCAAACAGGACAAAAAAAAAGAAAAAACACATGAATAAAACAGGGGGGAACGGGGGTCCCGACATGAACCTCTGACTGGGTCCAGCTGCTCATTTATGACATTAAGACTCAGAGTTGCCTAAACGATCACACTTATATGTTGGTTCTTCAAGTGATTATTCACAAAGCTTCACTCCATAGCATGGACCAGAAGAGCAAAAATAATTAGAGAGAGCAGGAATTTCTGTAGTTGGGTTTCCAGCAGAACCACCCTGAACTTTTGTTCCCCAAAGTTATTTTCAGGAACCTTCAGTGCAGGGACGGTGAAAATGTTCCTGATTGGTACATTGGTTAGATTTTCAGCCAAGTGGGGTCAGCTGATACAAGTTACAAGTTCACCAGCATTAAGTTTATCTCCAGACAAAAATGTGCTGGCAGCCAAAAACCTTTAGATGTGGTAACTCTGGAGCTACGATGTTGGTTTGATCACCTATTTATTCAGAGTTAAAACACTTTGTTCCATTTTAAAAACGTGTTCTGTATGTGGTGTGTATGTGTGGTGTGTGTGCTGGGAGGGGGCTCACCTTAGCAGGGCCGATAATCATGCCGTTCCAGTGAGTTAGCATCATGTCGTCATCATCTGCGAGGCCCCAGCTCACCGTACCGTCTCCACCACCTTTCTGACCTTCTTCCAGCTCCTCCAGCAGCCGAAAGCTGCGAGGAACAACAACGCCTTTTATACACACACACACACACAAAGAAAGAGGGGAAAAGAAACGCATTGAAAAATAAATACATCAGTACTTTTCAACCCCACTCCTTGATGCACATGAACCTGCATGTTTTCAATGTTTTGTTTTGCGAGTTCAGCACACCTGATAAAACTGATGGCTGAACTGCAATCATCTGACTCAGGTGTGTCAGAGCAGAAAAACTTCTAAAACATGAACGTAAGACAATAAACACTGGCTTACACAAGCACAAGTCTGTGATGAAGAGAAATGTTTCTGTAGATAATATATGTAGGTGTTGCTTTTTCAGAAGGAAGCTACATTTGTCTCAAACCACAGCTGCACAATGTGTTGAAAATACATCACTCTACTGCCAGTGTCCACACTAATATCACTAATATCAATATTGAATAATAATATTTTAACCACATGCTTTTCTGATATTATATAGTCCAAGTCTCATCTAGTGGGTTCCACATTTTCTTCTTTACTAAGGAACTATATATAAAATGAGGCACGTTTACTAGGCTTAAAAAATAGAAAGAGAAAGTAACACAAATCCTCTTGCTTCAAATGTTATGTTTGTGTGGCTCATTTTCTTGTTTTCCATTTTATTTCAATACATTTTCGCTGTGTTTTAATGTCAGAGAGCAGAATATCTGAATATCAGAAACCATTTTTAATATATGCTAATCCGATGTAACCGCGGTCTAAAAGTGTTACTTGGTGCTGTGTGTGGATAAAGATGTACTCGTCTTTATTCACAAAAGACTTCCCGTTTTCTTTTTTAATTTTTAAGTTCATAACTTTTAAATTAGAACGCCACAGTTTCGGCGGCTCATTAAAACCATATCTCTATTATTGTTGTTATCTTCTTCCTTGTTTGACGGGTTTGCACCAGACATGTTCTTCCTGGTTGCATTTCAATAGACTTCCTTCGTTTAATGATGAGTGCGCCCTCTGCTGGCAAGGATATAAGCTGCACAGGTGGTAGAATTTAATAAATATTTTAAACACGAAGAGGTAGGTATACAGAGGTATCTAAACCGCAACAGAAGCTCAATGTTTATACAGACTTTCAAGTTGTCCAACTGGGAGAAACAAAAGTTTTAACTCAGGTACAGATATTGATAGAGCTTTAAAAAGATAAACATGTGCATAAAGTTTTACGAGGATTTATCAGGAATGTCGTGGCTCCAGTAGGCTCATCTCTGAGGAGTCCACTGATACAGCTGCCGCCTCAGATAACAGGGGGCGTCACCACTCAGAGACCACATAAGCCGCAAAAATCCCTAGCTTATGCCAGCCCTGATTTAAACGTTGGAAAATTTCAGCCTTCCCCCGGAGCGCTTAGATGGACCAGGACAATGAATCTAACGGAGCTGTGAAACAGCTGCTGAAACACTAGACCGGTTCGACCTGCTAGCTAGCTATAGCACCCTTGGTGACAGCATCCTGCCACATTCAATCACGAAGGAAATCTAACTTAAGGGCTGCCGGACTCTAACAAAGCCGATAACCAACGAAGACATAACGGGTGCGCGTTATAAACTGCACCGGGAAGGAAACTATTTGCCAACGTACTATTAAAAACTGTCGGTAAAGACAGAAAGAATGATTACCTGATCCGGCGGCGGCCGCCATATTTGTCACTGTGCTGTGATAGCGCGCACGTACAATGCTCGTTCCCGCTTACGCATACCACGTGCTTGTTTTGATTTTATTGGCGGTTGGCAAGTTAATGTAAATGCATTACCGCAAGGGCGGGATTACTGGGGTGACAGTCGCTCCCCTAACATAAAGCCTTGCAATCCTGTTGATTTGCCACCCTCGCTGGTGACTGAATTCAGGAAATAGTTAAGGCAAATTAGACATTAAGAACGTGAACCTCTTTTTTCCCGACAACATTGAATGCAACTCGATGTAACTTGACTCCTGCTAGGGACGTTCTGAGTGTGTAGCGGGAAGCATAGACTTTGAACACGCCTCATGGAGCGGATCGGCACGTTGCTGCGATACGTCACAGCGTCCGCCATATTGAATGTGGAATATGTGCCAGTAAGCTAATACAGGTAAATGGACCGAACTTCACAAAGTGCCGTTCTACAAAGTATTTTAAATTAATATCTGTCATTGACAC